AGAGCGGACACTTGCGGGAGATCGCGAGATCGCGAGAGATCGCGGGATATTGCGAAGATTGCGAACGATCGCAGAGAGGCGCGATGGGTCGATTGGACGAGAAGCGGTGCTCGGATGCGGACAATCGGAGCAGGCGCAAACTAGGGCAGCGCTCGGACAAGGATGATCGCGGGAGAGAAGGGTCGTGATCAAGCCGAGCTAGAGAGGCTTCCCTTTGATGTCTCTAATACCATGTGAATTTTGAATAATTCTTTTTCTCAATGAATACATAGATAATTCACCTATAAATAGGCGAGTACAAGAGAAAAAGAGGAAAGAAATCTTCCTACAATTAAGTAATTCCTATAACTATGGAATAAACATAAATACCTATAATTAAGGAATTACCCTTTTATACTATGACTAAATATAGCAAGTACTAAATAAAATTAAAGTAAATAATAATAAGGAGCGTAATTCCACAGTAACCTAACAGGAAAATATTTGCAAGATATCAACCACCACAGCATAAGTAAATGCCACAATAATATCTAATTTAGCTTGGCTAAGGCTTCCCTTTTATGTTAAAACTTTACACATGTTCATCAATCATTTGATATATTCTAGTTTACACCAAAAACTTCATGCTTCAAAAAAAAAGTGCACGACTTCGTACTTTGCCATAGCCAATCAACCAGAGTATACAAATGTTGTTCCTTTCATTAATCATGTGATTAACTATGTTTAAAATACTACCCACACAAGTAGTATTTCATGCCCAAAAAAAAATCATTTTATTTTGTGCATTAATTCATTGAATATACTATAAATATACCCATAAATCTTGGTTTGGAAATGTTTGTCTACAATAAAACAAGATACTCATCTAATTATAATTATAATAATTTTAAAACGATTATTACTGATGATGTTATGCTAAGGCAATTAAATATGTAAGAATGCAAAGTCCCAAAAATAAGCATGTCATTCCAATTAGCTAGTGGCACATGGTTGTGGTTTCGTCGCACTTAAGCACCAAGCTATACACATCTTTATAATCAATATCCATAAAAATGATTTGATCTGCTTAATGCCTCGATAATGATTCATATATTCATGCCACTTCTCTCTCTCTCTCTCTCTCTCTCTCTCTCTCAAAAATATGCACGAAGAGAGTTCAAATGTGCTATCTGATCTCTTCTTGGTCACTCTCACTCTCCTACCCCATGGATCATTTCATAGCACAGTTTACATGTGAAATGATGTGCATCAAAACCTTCGTAAAGAAATTCAGTTCTTAGTTGCACAAATCATAATATTAAATTGTGTCAATCATGTTGTCATCTATATTTTTAATAATCTTGAATCTCATTAAAGAGCATATAGAAGATGAATGTCACTTCATTTAGAAAATAATTCAATCAAAAAAGATAATGTCACGACTAAGTCCGGAACTTAGAATTAACTAAGGCGGTAACAAACGGTCGGACAATGGAATAAGTTTTCTATATTTTTTATTATATCAAGGACAATTTAATATAAAAACATTAATCAAAAAATCCACTAAAGGGAATATTTTAATTAACAAATAAAAATTACATTTCTAGTTATAAGCCTCTTCTTCTATACACATTAGCTCCTCTAGAATCTTTCTTGTTCAAAAACTTAAACCTGAAAAAAATATTAAAACAATATAATAAATTATTTAAGATAACTCAGGCGAAATCACACTTCGAAACTACAATGACCTAACAAAAAAAACAATATATATGTCAATCTTTCATATTTCTATGAAAAACTCATAATAATCTAATGTATGTGTCGGTGACATTTTCTTAATAGAATAAACTTATACTTTAATATGTATTAAATTTAATTATATTCTTTAAGATTTAACCTTTAACTTTACATTTACTTCATATTATTAACATTCATATTTGTCTTAGAAGCAACGTCAAAACCTAACACACCCCTGACTTATATTATCCCGTCGATGCGGAAATTCATGATATAAGTTGCACAATTGTCTAAGATGAAAAAACACATACTCTCCCAAGACTGATATTCTCTCATTGGCACAACAGTCAGCAATCTAAATGTCACAATTATCTTGAGCAGTAGGATAATATCTACGAGCGCAGGAACACCAACGTCCCTTACAAGTAACATAAGAGAGTGAACTCTAGCATGCACAAACAAGCATTCATATATACACTACTTCGTTCTTCATAACATATATTATTTTCTTTTGAAATATTTTACCTCAGCCTATTGATGAATAAATGCAGTCTTATTAAATTTATAAATCATGCAATAAACTGATATATATGCATCTAGACTAGAATTTTCATATAATTTAGTCATCAAACCTCTTCTTAAATAAATTATAATGCAATTTTTTAACATGCATACTTCATGACTAAGGATATGAAGAGTACTATATTATTTAATCTCATTGATACAAGACATAATAGTAAAAAAATTGTAAGTAGTGATATATTTAAAAACAAAAAAATATTATTGTAACTTAAAAACATAATTACTCACTTTGATTCTAAAAGGTTTTTTGGTTCCCAACTTACGTCGTGTCCTTTGAGTTACCACCTATAATATAAAATATAGCATCGAATAAATTTATCTCGTATGACTTAATTATATTTTAATTAATTATAGTTCAAATTCCTCATTTTAATTATGAGTTTAAATCCTTAAATTGATACTAATATTAAATAAAAAATAATTTAAAAGACCAACATGCATATTGTTTTCTTTTCATTGGGTTACTATAGTTTAGAATAATGATTACCCCTGTGTTATCTTAGACAACTCATTATGTTGTTTTAATATTTTTTTTCAAATTTAAGCTTTTAAATAGATGAATGCTAGAGAAACTAACGAGCACAAAAGAAGAGTTCAGCAATTAGAAAGGTAACTTTTATTTGTTACTAAAATTGTTTCATTTAATGACTTTTTCAATTATTTTTTATATTAAATTGTTAGTGGTATAATTAGAAATATAGAAAATTAAATTTGACCGTCCGACCATGTATTCCCGCCTTAGTTAATTCCAAGCCCCGAGTTGGGTTGTGATAAATAATCACTCGTCATGTTTCCAACTTAGAAAAACTAGCAGACATATTACTAATGTTGTAAGTCCATATAAGTTCTTATACCATGTAACAATCTGGAGTTAATTAATAATCACTCTTCGACATTGGAATGATTGTTGGCATAAGCTTTTCTTTAGGAAAATTTCTTTTTTATATTAAGTGGACCATGCTGGTCTCCTCAGTAACATTTCATTCGTTCATTCATTTATTATATAAACATTGAGATTATTAGATAATCCACAAACCCCATTTTCAATCATGATAACTCTTTTTTCCTAATTAAACTTTACAAAACTTAAGTGCTCGAGATTATAAATACTTAAAATGCCAGAAAGCTACTTCTTGCTTCTTAAGAGTTTCAGTTTAAGAGTAGAAAAACTCTCACTGGCAAATACTAACATCGATGTCGATGAGCTATCATTTCATCATAACCAGATAAGTTCAAGGCACTGGATACAAACCAAAAGTGTGTGCCTTCCATAATCATCTCCATTCAGAGCATTATGTGTGTGAATCAATCTAATAGCATCATCCATTTCCTTCAGCTTAGAAGCCATCAACAAACTGAGTTTCAGGTTATAAGCAACAAGTTAGATGATTCATCTAACAATATAGATTCAGATAAACATTGAAAAGAGAAAAGGTAGGAGTATACCTGTGACGGCCTCCAATATGCCCTGCATGATCTAAACCCAAATAATGGAGAATCTGAAAAATGGTCAAAGGATCGTAACTAAAGATTATAATATGCGCCCGACCAGAACAAAGATATATATTCATGCTGAAATAATTTAAATTTGTGGTCTGCAATTTCCCATCCGCAGGAGCCCAGATTTACATGAACAAATTTTCATCAACAACAATCCAACAATCTTTAGGTATCAATTTTTCACTTGAATAAAATAGCAATTCATGGATGGCAACATCCAACTTTGATTGTGTAGTTAATCCTGGATTCCAGAATTAAATACTGATTTCCAGATTTGTTTATTTCCAGATTTGTTTCTTTCCTTCATAGTTATTTCTCTAACTATTTATATGCATTTTCTCACCTTATTTTTTAATGTAAAATAAGGGAATAAAGTCATACAAACTCCCATTTTTACCCCGATTCTCAGTTAAATTTTCAAGATGATTATAAAGCTGCGATTACTTTTTTGTGAGGATGATGGATCATTCAATATGGGGTTTGTCCAAGACAAAAAGTCATTCACCAACACTTATAGCTAGTTTCCATCTAAAAAGAGTGGCACTAACCAAAAAAAAAATAAATGTGCACTAACATATGTGAAGGTCCTCATGGAATGATGGTAGCATTTGCCACCAAAAAGCCAAGTCAAAAAGTCGAAAAATCCAACAAAAAAAATAAACCTCAAAATTAAAAATCTTAATCTTTAAACAAACAAAAGACAACCAACTATTCTCTTAGTAGAAGTTTATTCTGCAGCAATATAGAAACAAGCTTGGTTGTTAGAAAAGGTAAATCCACATATTTCTCATTTAGGGTGTAAATGAGCCAAGCCTACTGGTACTTGACTTTATTAAAAAAAACACGCAAGCCGACCTTAACAAGTCATGTGTTCAAGCTCGAGCCTAGATTCGAGCTTGTTTATTAGACAAGCTCGAGTTTGAGCTGGAGCTTTGTCTGAGATCTCATCGAATCAACTTGATTAACTTTAATAAAGATCTATTTTTACTGATTAACTCATTTTAATTGTCAACTAAAATTTTAGAAAATTAAAATTGAACAAAAAAATTGATCGAAGCAAGAGCTTTCAATTGAGCTCAAGTATTCAATTTGAGTACGCACTTGACTACTTTACTTGATTTGAGCTCAAACTTGCTAAATGAGCACAAGCCAACCTCTAGCTCGAGTTTTATCAAACCAATAATTATATGAGCTTTTGCTTAAACCAAAATTTAACTCGACTCAACTCATTTACACCCCCCAAGTCCCATTAAAAACAAAAGAAATTGGTACTTTAGAGCATCGTTTCATATGACCGAAAGTAAATTTTTCTGCTATACATGCCATGAAATTTATAACGTCAAAATTTGCTATGAGTCGCTATCAAAAGTGGTTGGACTATGTTCTCTTAAAAATTTGACACTTAACAATATAGCCTAATCTCCAAACAAAATTGCATCTTATAATTAATCCATTAAGAGAAAAATGATCGTGTTGTTAATACAACTCATATTTGTCACTTTCAAAATTTGAACTTAGAAAGAATGATATACGATGTGAAGATATGTTCAATAATTTATCTTCTAAGGAATAATCACTAGAATATAAAGTATGAGATTAAATTAAAAAAATTTCTATCCACCATAGCTCCCAATTCAATATCACTAGAATATAAAATATGGGTGTCTTTTCTGGTGCGGGAACCACATGTAGGGGACCAGAAGTAGATGTCTGTGCCCAATATTTGTCACTTTCAAAATTTGAACTTAGAAAGAATGATATACGATGTGAAGATATGTTCAATAATTTATCTTCTAAGGAATAATCACTAGAATATAAAGTATGAGATTAAATTAAAAAAATTTCTATCCACCATAGCTCCCAATTCAATATCACTAGAATATAAAATATGGGTGTCTTTTCTGGTGCGGGAACCACGTGTAGGGGACCAGAAGTAGATGTTCGTGCCCCGTATTTTAATTCTGCATTTGATATTAATGTATAGAATTAGAAGCAGACATGTATATGCGAGGTCTGACCTTTTTTTTTTCTGGAATATGTTGCTGACTCAGGTATGAGATTAAATTAAAAAATTTTCTATCCACCATAGCTCCCAATTCAATATCACTAGAATATAAAATATGGGTGTCTTTTCTGGTGCGGGAACCACGTGTAGGGGACCAGAAGTAGATGTTCGTGCCCCGTATTTTAATTCTGCATTTGATATTAATGTATAGAATTAGAAGCAGACATGTATATGCGGAGTCTGACCTTTTTTTTTTTCTGGAATATGTTGCTGACCTTTTTTTTTTCTAGAATATGTTTTATTATTTTGTTTAGTTTGTTTTGTTATCATTTGCATGTCTGCATGCCTGGATTGTTTTCCATTATTTATTTTTGTGCATCTGAGATTCCACAGAGAATATAATCTATGCTCTACTTGAAAAATCTTAAATAAAACATTCGAGATAAATTAAAATTAGAATTAAAATATTCATGATTTTCAAAACTTGCTTTTACTTTTCTAGATGGTCTTCAGGCCGGTTTTAAAACAGATAGCATAGCATGGTCATATCTCAAGTCATAATTAATAGTGTCTTCACAATAATTAAGGATCACTTTAGATAACTGCATTCATATTTGCATGTCCCGATGAGAAGCTCTCGTGCTTCTTCAATCTCACTAGCCCAGCATACCTTATAGGAGGTTGTCTAGTGCGCCTAGATCTTTAGGAGGCTCCCAGACAAGGCATAAGTCCTCTCGTTCGGAGCATTTTCAGTTTTGTAGTTGAACCTCCACCTCTCTTTCTATCCTGAGGCATCATTATCACTTTAGCAGGTGTAAGTTCCACATCTTGCAGCTCCAGCTTATAGTCATAAGATACGACGCAATTCACGGATTGCTAACCAGGGAACTTGGGACATGTTGAGTTGACTACCTTCACGACCAAATAGGCTTATGGACTTAGTAGCTTGGGATGACGGGTCTGTGATCCCCTGACTAGGCTACCACCACCTCTTAAGGATTACTCCTCCCTTTTCTTTGACTACCCGTGTTAAGTAATTTCGCTCGTGTTGACTTCGTTTGTATCATTTTGACGGCTCGATGTCGATGAGCTACTGCCCATTTGGAATACGACCATTTGCCACCTGTCTTTACAACCCAGATATGCTTTGACATATTAGGGTACCCCCATTGGGATGATTATTGGTTATTACTTAGGTATCATATGCCAATAAACCGCTACCTAATTGGGATGTGAGAGACTAGCTCTTTGCCCAATGGCTTAGGCAGAGCTTTGAAGCATATGGGCGTTCCCACACAAAATAACCTTCATTTGATAACTGAATTTCCCAAGTCTATGATAATACGAGCGAAACACCTTTTATCGAGAGTATTATTGGGTATCCCCCAAGATGTAATTAACTAAGTGGGACACATCCCCTTGAGAGTACTCTTGACCCAAGAACAGGCATCCACAAGTGAATCTCTGGTTATGGGTAGCCTATGTAGGTATTTTTCGTGAATATTGGTTTATGACGCCTCCACCCGACCTTGTTTGGACGGACATACTTAACCTATTCTTGCAATGTATATTATACGTAGACTCTCCATATTTTTGTTTTTTTCTTTTGTCTGTCATATTTGTTGTATATCTGTTTTTTTCAATTCTTCTCTTCTCTGGGAAATGCATATGACCCGGAAGAGAGATTTTTTCGAAGAATCGAAATATACGATGATCGACAGGTTGGCGACTCCTTCAAAAATAAAAGAGAAAAAACATAACGAAAATAACAGAAGTTCCGTATTCATGATCCAAAACTCTCGTGGGAGTAATGACAGCCAAAAAATAGATATTCTAGAAGAAAAATTAGAGAAAGATGTGAGTCAAATCAGATCAAGAGTAGATAAACTTTTCTTGTCCATTGAAGGGCAGCTCTTATCCATGGAGAGAAGATTCACGACTTTAGAAGAAATGATGAAAAAGATCACGAAGTTTCACGTAAAGTCGCCGGCCACCGCAAGATCAAGCTACGACGTCGAGAGAGGATGTGGGCAATAATAAACTTAAGGATTTGTGTGGCACCAATGGTGGCATCATTGTCTTTGACGAATATGGATTCGTGGAATCGAGCAAAGAAATCGTGAGCGGACTTAAATGACAGCACTTGGACAGCATAGCACGACATTCTGACGACGGGAACAAATAGAAGCAAGGAGATTGAGTGAAAGAGTTAGGAGCATAATCGAGCGGCAGCATTTGGAAGGTATATGGAGGTTTGGAACGAACAGCAGCAACCGAAATGGGATAATTTGCATCTCGGGGCTGAAGAAGATCAACAACAACAACAACAAAGCCTAAATCCCACAACGTGAGGTCGGCTACATGAATTCTTTTTCCAGTGCATCATATTTAGTGTCATATTTTCATTTAGTTCTAGTAAATTAAGATCATTTTTAATACAATAAGCCCAAGTCTTCCTAGATTTACCTCTGCCTTTCTTAACACAAATCGAATCTAAAACATCTACTCTCCTAATCGGATCATCAGATAGTCGACGTTTAATGCGACCAAACCATCTAAGACGACTTTCTCTAATTTTGTCCGTCACAGGAGCTACACCAACCCTATCACAGATATATTCATTTCGCATTTTGTCTCTCTAAGTGTAAAGTCACTCATCCACCTAATCTTTCTCATCTCGGCAACACTTAGCTTATTATTATGCTTCTCTTTGAAAAGCCAACAGTCAGCGCCATAGAGCATTGCAGGTCTCACCACCGTCTTATAAAATTTTCCTTTCAGTCTAAGCGGTACTTTTCTATCACACAAAAGGCCCGAAGCATTTCTCCACTTCAACCAACCAACTTGAATTCTACTATTGACATCCCCATCTATATCTAAACTAAGATCGGGGCTGAAGAAGATCGATTCAAAAAATTTCAACCTAAAAAAGAGAACCATGATGGATGGGACCACGACAGAGGGTTGCATCCAACTGCGCCAGTGTCTTTTGTT